CAGAATATGGAGTTTGTTACTTTGTGATCGAGAGTGTGCACAACTGTACTTTCACCTGTGATGCATTCCTGCCAGGCAGCTCAGTTAGTTCCTATCTTGGGAGGTTTTCCTTGACTCTCCACACTGACTCATTATTACCCCTTTTGCTAGTGCAAAATCAAGAACCTACTGGACTCTTGTTCTGGACTAATCACACCGAAGCATATCCATCTGGGGGTTATGATTTCATCCCACTGTCCCTACAAGTGGAGCATACAGCAGGTGTGAGGTATGCAGAAGCAGACAGGTTTTCTAATTTGCATACAGGACATGCACAACAAAGTCCAGTCTCATCAAAATCAGTATACATAAAAATACTAATTTCTTTGGTATGATTATAGAGAGAAAGGAAAGAACAAAAGTCACTGACTGAATAACCCTCAAACATTTCCCACGAGTTCCCTGGTAAATCAATGCTGCATTTGCTTTTGACTCCTGAGATGAGTCAGTTCCTTTCTTCTGTAGCCCTGTAGGCTTTATAAGTCCCCATGCCTTGTCTTCTGGACCAGGAACATCTCTTATACTTGCTTTGTGCTCTGTAGCTCCACTGAATGAAGCCTCATCCTTGCCACGGGGGACCCTGTAAGCCTTGCTTCCTCTTCCAGTACCAGCTCAAGTGTGCTTCATGTGACCAGTCACCCCAGAACACAATGCTGCTACCTTCTCTAAATGTCTTAAACCTTGTCTCGCACTCAGTGAGTACTAAGTACTAAGCAACTAGTACCACAAAGTAATAGCTCTTTTACATTGTTAGACCTCAACTTACTCAAAACTTTCCCGCAAAAACATAATTATATTAATTCACTCACTTAGGACTTCTTTACCAAATGCCTACTACATGACAAGCAGGACAATGAGGCAAGCAATATGCCACTGTCACACAGCCAAGTAGCAGCAAAGTTAGAATATGAAAGTAGATCTTTTTAACTCCTATGATATGTCCCAGTTTGGGAACCTTTGTCCTTAAAGTGATGAATAGGCATGCACTCAGAAACCTAGTAATGTTACTTTTCACTATGTTGTATTAAGTGCATGATGCTGAACCAACCCTTCCTAAGGACTCTGGCCAAATTCCTATGCTGCACACTACTCCACACGTTCATTCCACACTACTAACCATTTCCCAAAGAAGCAGTGGATTTCCACACCTTCATTCATGTTCATACCTTTGTCCTCCGTGTCCTATCTTCACCTGCCCATTGAATTCTCTCCTTCAGATGCAGTTCATTCATTCATCATCCAATATGTATCTAAGGGCTATCCGGTACAATTTCCAAATGTAAGTGACCAAAAGACAAGATTTCCAGACACAGTGGTGTGTACTTCTAGTGCCAGCTACTTGGAAGGCTGAAGCAGGAGAATTGCTTCATTATTTATCGAATAATGTATTACCTGATTATTTATCTCCATGACCAGAATCAATTCCTTGAGGGACCTAATTAGTTGAAATGACAAATACTTTATTGAGTACCTATATGGCTGCAATGGTTAAATCATGACTTTTGTCTTTTAAATCCTAGCAAGTACTTACAATCCCTATGATCTTAAGCAGGTTACTTAGCCTCTCAATCTCTCAACATTCTCTGCATTGCTAAATAAAGTATTAGAAATAATACTGAAGGTTAGCATGCCAACACTATTTACGCTAACTCAAAGCAATTTAGTCTTTGTCTCAGTTTTCAGCATGCCTATTTCAACACTTGCCCTGGTATTATTTATCCTATGTGTGATCAAAGACAATATGACAGCAAAGATCCCTTTATCTCTAAAAATTATATCATACAAAATACAGTCTAAGATTTATTGATAGTATAACATTCACTTTTAAATATAGATTAGTAATCTGGGACTAATGAAATAAAAAAAATCTGAGCTTTATTTGCTAAAAATGTATTAGCTGAAATACAAATACACATTTATTCAAAATCTAATCTATTAATGATTATTTTAAAAACGATTACTATTCTGTACTAATTATTAAGAGATATAAAATAATTTAGTAGAATAATGGATTGAGTTAAACCAAATACTATGAAAGAGATCATTAGTTGGTAATTAATTTGAAATAGTATTACATATTTTGAGACTATAAATCTTATAAAAAGTTAAATATTAAGCAAACTACTGTTAAGTTAGATATCACAATTCTAATCTTTGTATCTCTACATTTCTAGTATTCATGAAAAAATTAACAATTATATATAGCAGTTATTTCTGTGAAGTATTTTTAAAGTTTTATTTAGAAATTCTTCACATTTTATAAAAATGAATTAAAAACAAAATTTTAATCATACCATTTCCATATTTCACAAGGATGAAAAATTTCAACATTAAGTCCAATAACGCTATTGATAAGTCACCTCTGGTATAAACTTAAGAGCATAAAAAACAAAAATGAAGCTCCCAAAACATATTTTGTTTCTGCTAACTAATCCTGAAGATTACTGTTTTTAGTTGGGTTTCTGTCTCATGTCTTTAACTCCAGCATTCCTGGAAAGCTAGTGCAGGAGGACTGCAAGTTTGAGCCTAGCCTAGGTAATTTAACCAACTTAGCAAGACCCTGTCTCAAAAAAAGAAATATTTTTTAAAAGGCTGGACATGTAGCTCACTGCAATTCCCTAGCATGCACACGTGTGTGCACGCGCACACACACACACACACACACACACACACACATGCTTAAGTACAGATTTAAAAATATGCCATAAGAGAACAATTCTATAAAACTGTTAGACTATGAAGGCCATGGGACTGAGATTCAGGTGAAAAGACACACCTGGGATGAACACCAAGAACACAGGCTACAAGAAATTACTGCTGTTCTTTGAAATGGGTGGTAAGAGTGAAGCTTGTATCAGAGGAGATTAAAGAATCAATGGGTAGTTGAAGAAAGAAAATGAATGCTGATTATTCAATTGGAAGATCTGACTCCAGAGGGAGAGAAAAGGGGCAGAGCCCAGTCTCATGAACTATATTAATTCATTACAGCAGGAAACACATACCTGCACAGCAGTCTAAAGAACTGTTGTTGCTTGAGTGCCAAAAATAAATGTATAGTGTTGACTCCTCCCTACCATTGAAATGAATTTGATTTTTAAATGCTTGCTTTCTTTCCTTAAAAACTTTCAGAACAAACAGAAAAGCGAAATGTTAAGACCAAGAAATTTTCATGTTTGAGTCCGTGATTTTAAACATTTATGCTTTTCCTGACATTGCATCCAGATTTAGTACAGACACACACATACAGAGCAGATACCCAGGTGTGTATTACGTCAGGCCATATGTGTGATTCTTAAGTTCTCAGAAATGCAAGAACTTGCTCTTAAATATTTAATTCTAATCTCTAACAATATATTCATTGCACAAAAAATGGAAAGCAAAAGAAAAATTCTATGCACGGAAAGTCCTAATTGATGATACCAACATCAGAGTGCCCAATAAGTGCCACATATATAGAAGAGAAAATCCTGCAGAGAGCTATTGCTATTCTTATTGCAACTGATAAAATCATGACTCAGGAAAGCCTTTGTAGATAACCAAGCACAAAAATTTCAGGAGTCAGTTTTGACTTTCATCTTTGTTCCTGTAGACAAGTTTCTTCTCTAAACATCACATTTTTCAGCTTATGTCTTAAATCAATCAGGCATGGTAGCACAAGTATATAATTCCTATCATTCTGGGAGGCTGAGACAGGAGGATGACAAGTTCAAGACCAGCCTAGAAAACTTAGCCACTGAGCTACACCTGGTCTCAAAATAAAAACTAAAAAAGAGATGGGAAATGTAGCCCAGTGCAAAAGCCATATGTTAAATGCCTGGTACATACATGCATACATACATAGGTATAATCTTATTTACTTCAGAAAGGTAGGGAGTGACAATACATATAAACTGCCTAGTATAATATCTGGTATATAATTAGTATGTAATACATGTTTAGCAACTGTGTTGATTATAAATGTTATTGCCCAAGACTGTACAACTAGCAAGAAACATAGGGAACAATCTGAATTCATATTTATTTGTCTGATGTCACAACCAGTGCAGAAAGTAGCATTTACTGAGAACTTTCCATTACTGTCTCAATATATTTATATGCATTAACAGAATCAACCCTCAAAATACCTCCATCAAATAGATACTATTATTATCCCTATGATATAGATGAAAAAACTGAGTGACAGAGGTATTAGAAGTTTGAAAATCTTCCCCTTTTCCCCCAGTGTTGTGAACTTCCAGTAACATATGATTCCTATGTAATCACCACTTTCACTGACTCTTCTAAGATGTATTCTTGGACAATAAAGGGATGCAGAACAGTATACTTTCTTAAGTTCCTGAGCAAATAGGGCTATATAAATGAAAACATCATTTATATAGTAACATCAATGTTACTATTTTGCAAAGACATGAAAAAGTTACACTGGGAATTTTGCAAATCTAATTGGCTAACCACATCCTAGTTAAAAGAAACCAACCCCAAGCTGTTTTTTTTTTTTTGTCATTCTACAAAATTTCAAGACATTTGAACTATCTGATGAAAGAGTGGTTTATTTATACAAAAGAGTGGCCCCAAAAACTTCATACAATCTGACTATTAGAGCCCAAAGCCCCTCAAACTGATGAAAACAGAAAGGTCAACATAATACTTATTTTCTTTTATTTTTATACTTAGTCAAAGGATTATGGTCAATAAGAGTAACACAAAATTGACTGCAGCTGAGAAAAATACTGATGTCAATGGCTAAAAGTGCCCCATAAAACTTTCAAGAAAAGGGTTTAGGATCACAGTGAGACTCCACAGACTCCATATTACTGTAGTCTTATCAAAACTAGAAGCAGAAGATGTTACTCACCAAATAAGTCCTGAAGGAACAAAATTAGAAGGGCTCCCATCCTTTAGATGTGCTCTTGCAAGTCCCTGATCTAGATAGACTGTCACAGACAGTCAACATGTCATACCTGTTATTGCCAAGGTCACACAGTCAACAAAATGGGTATGATGAATTATCAAAATAGCAAAGAGATCCCTTTGAAGTCTGAGGCTTAGATGAGCTGATTCCAAACTTAAATGTGTTCTCTGTGAATGAGCAAAGGCAAGAGTAAATAATTAAAACACTGCCCTATAAGCTATGACATCTTTTCAGTAATACGTGGTATATTGCCCTGCCCTTTTCCACACCTCATGTGAGTCTGGGTAGAAAGGAGCCGTCCTGAGAGATGGGAGGGAGATATTAGCAAACAACTGTGGGGAATACCTCACTGTCTCTGTCCTACAAACATCCTCCAAAAAAGGCTCCTTCAGAGACTTTCTATTTCCAGAGCAGTCTGCACAGCATTTCACTTGCCCTCTATTTCTCTGTACTTATCTACTTATTTCCCCTCACAGTTCGATTCTATTTTGTAAATAACTGCTGGCCAATCCTGTTATTCCACCAAAAACAGAGTTGTTTCTGTGGCTATCACTCAGAAAGTTTCACTTGATTGTTATCTGGACTTGCTCTGACTTCCAGTTTAATAAATCAGACAAGTATTTCACTCCATAAATCAGAAACACAACATTGTGTCCCACACCCCAACAGCCCTGGTTGCTGTGGAATGGAATACCAATGGAATTAAGGGAAGTTTTTACAGACTCAAGTAATACAGAAATGCAGTAATTTGTCTTTATTAATAGAAGGTCAAACGCCATGTACTTCTAACAGTTCCATCAATATTTTTATAGTCCTCAGGTCTCGACTATCAGCAATGCCCCTTAACACAAGAAAACTTAAAGCCTGACATTATTAAATAGAGTTAAGAAATAAATCACTCACATGAATGCCTGGTTTTCTATGCAACTGGACTTCCCAAAGTTCCATCCCTTGGAATAACAGCCAGTCTGGAGTACTTTGGACTCTTCAATGCACTACAGTCTATTCCTTAGAATGTCTTCCAAAGATGCAGTGGCAATCTCTTTTTACAGCTTTCCCTCAACACAGATATAACAAGCATGACTAACATGGACATCCATCACATGTCACTGTGAAGGAGATCGTATTATCCCCATTTTACAGCAATAACCTACTAAAATCATACTTGTAAAAAGCCTGAACTATTACTCTAAGTCCAGTTTGAAGTCCAGGGGTGTCCTTGTTTACCACATGTGAACCATATCCCTATGGACTAAGGCTCTTTATGGGAGATGTGACAACTTGCATCTCTGATTACCCATTCCCAGGTTTTGCTGCTTCCCTTTCTCTCCTATCACTGCGTCTAGGGGCCACTTCTTCACCATCCAGCTAAGGGCACCTGATCCAGCTGGGATAAATGGAGGCAATTTTATACTGTTTAAGTTTCCTGATCCTGAGGGCATCAGCAAAGGAAGCAACAAATTTCAAAAACCTAAGTAAATAAAAATTATCAAGATACAGACATACAAAACTTCTCCCAAAACGCTCACTAAGGTTAGAGATTTGTCCCCACATAAATGCCACAATACCTAGGGTAAACAAAAATGAGTCTCTAAAAAAACAGTGAAATTCCAGAGAAAATAGTTGAGACTTAGATAGTGAGCAAACTGAAGCATGCATCAAAATCTACTGGAGAATGTACTAAAACACAACTTATTCCATCTCACTGCCAGGAGTTTCTAATTTAGTGAAGTGGGGACAAGGCTAGAGAATTTACATTTCTAATACAGTTCCAAGCAATATTCGTTGGGGTTGGTCTGGGAATACACTTGGAGAACAATGGTTCAAGGGTGCTTATTTACCTGAAAAACTCTTCCCTTTAGAAAAATAGATCTTGCTTGTACTCCTTTAACCATCAGTTAACAAAAAGTTTAACTTAATCAGGCTGATGAGAGACAATATGCCTGCATTCAGGGACTTAAATTCCAGCTCTGCCACTCATTCACTGTGTGACCATAGGCAAGTTGTCTGACCTCTCTGAGCCTCCATTTTCAATCTGTAGAATACAAATGACAATTAGAGTACATATCAAGTATTGGGAGTACTGCCTAACATTTCTCCAATATTTTGTAATACCATCATTACTATACAGCCATGCATTGCTTAATGACTGAAATGAAGTATGAAAAGTGCATCTGGGGCAATTTCATTACTATGCCAACATCAAAAGTGCTTTCTGACGCCTCTGTGGTACAGCCTATCACACACCTCAGTTGTATCATACAGCCTACTGCTCATAAGCAATACACCTGCACAAAAATAAAATATAAAAGATACATGACCACCTTCATAAGACACTGAGTGAGTATTGAATGAGTAAAACCCTAGGGTGGACACTGCTGCACTTTACTATAAATGGTTATACTAAATTCACTGGAAAATTTTTTCTTTCTGTAATGAAAAACTAACAATTTTTACCTTATAAACTTTTTAATTTTTTAAACTCTGTCATTCTTTTCTAATACTATACAGTGAAAAACACATGGGTGATAGGACTTTTTGAGTTCCATTGTAACCTCATGGGACTACTATCATATGTGCAATTCATCATCAGCCAGCATCATTATGTGGTACAGGGATGTAATTTCTTCTACCTTTACAACTGTTACTGTGCCAACCAATAAAATAGAGCTCAGAGACAGAGCTGAAGACCAAACATACACAGTTCCTGCAAACATGAAGTTGCATGGTAACATGTTGTAAGGTAGACAGAACTCAAACTCAGTATTTATAAACACCATCTGCTTATCCCAAAGGGTTGAAAGCAGAGAAACAGAGAGAAAATGTTATAAAATATTTTCAAATTTGGAGATCAATTAAGCTAACGCATTTGTTTGCATTAGAATATGTACCAATGCAAAAATATAATTCTTTGTAGCCTATATATATTGCTTTATTAGTACATTTGCTTTTAAAATATAATTGTATAAGGGGCTGGGGATTTAGCTCAGCGGCATAAGCACCTGCCTTGCAAGCAGGCGGTCGTGAGTTCAATTCCCGGTACCGATAAAAAATGCATATATATAATTATATAAAAACATCTCTTCCAATTGAGCTCATCAAAATTTCACAATACCTAGTAGGTGTCATGCACATGGTACAGAGGGTAATAAAGGCAAATACACCATAGCTTCTGTACCTTTAGAGTTCCCAGGTTATTAGAAGAAAAATGTGTATCTAGGCATAATTATAGCACAATGACAGACAGGCTAGAGGATCTACAGGAACAATGACGAGGAGTCAGTGTTTTATCACTATAATGAAATATATGAGATAACAGTCCCAGTGCCCAGCAATCCAGACACTCAACTCCTGCAGCCAAGAAAGAGAAACATCTGGCTACTGCTCCACATGGCAACAGACCTTGGCAACATCCATATGGTACTGGTTTTATGTGCACATAGAATGCAAGAGTTCTGAGATTAAAAAGGTTCCTACACCAGTTTCAGAAGGCCTGGGAAGCTAGGTATTGTGTCATTGAGAGAGCAGTGTGTGAAGCTATGAGTGTGAAGCCAAAAGTGCATTGGAGACCCCAGAAGTTTGGAAAAGCCAGGAGCGTGGATCCTCTAATGAAAGCTCGAAAGACTGATGAGATTAGGCCTAAGAGAGATGCCATGGGAGCTACTACCACTAGAAGTGCCATAGGAGTGGAACCACACAGCCCTTTGGAGCTCACAATTTGCAACAGATTGCTTCAGATGCTAGACATGGAACTACAGGACTTAATGTTTTCCCTGCTGGATTTTAGACTTGCTATGCTCCCAATGCTTTGTATCCCTATTTATACCTCTCGGAATGGGAATGTTTATCTTGTGCCATTACAGGTTGGAAGTGTTTAACTTTATTTTCATTTGTACAGTGGCTTGCAGCTAAGGTTTGCCTTATAACTGGGAGCAGACTTGGGACTTGAACTTTTCAGCAATGCTCAAACTGTTAGAACTTTGGCAATTCTTGCAGATGGAATAAAGACCTTTTGCATAAGGGATGTGCATGAGTCTTTGGTGGTCCAAGGATAAAATGTTATGTTTCTAATGTAACATAATGTTGGTTCTTAAGGATTGTTAAAACTGTTATAATGCTCAAATTGTGAAATGTTAGGAATAAGCACCTCATATATCTGGAAACCACTTTAAAGAAATATGTCTGGTTGCCAAGTTGACAAGTGATAGATTGTTATGGTTGATACACTGTGTCAGCTTGAGAAATTTAAAAGTGTAATTGAGAGACTCAACAGGGAGCCATGATCCTTACTTGGTACATATCCTCATTCTGTGCAAGAGGAGGTCACAGAGATTTTGTGAGCGCTATATCTCCCCTGGGGGTTGGGAGGTGGCCTCTGTACAATATAAGGGAGGAAAAGAGGCTTGCTCTCTTCCCTGTTTGCTCTTGCTGCTTTTTCTGGCTGCTACCTTGAAGTGTGCCCCAGTGCCGTGCCATTTTGCCTTGTAGCCAGCTGATTAAGGTCTGAAACTTCCATAAACAGTGAGCTAAATAAAACTTTCTTTTCTCTGTTTTGGGTATCAGGTATTTCATCCCAGCAACAAGAGAAAAGTAACCAAGAAAGGGAACATTCAAGATCCAAAGTAGAAGAAAGTACCTATATGGGGTAGAATATGACATTTAAATGGGGTCTTGAAAGATAAGCAACAGTTGATGAGCAAGTACAAAAAAGGGTAAACTATATGGTACAACACTACCTACACATGACAGAAGACATGTAAAAGTCTGGCTAACCCAGAGATTGAGATGTCTGATGGACATGGAATATTGGTGTGTGAAAAGAAGTAGACAAGGACAGCTCAGCTTTACTGCTATGAAAATAGCATCAATTGTCTGAATAAAATGAAGTACTTGAAGCCATTTGGATAGTGGTCAAAGCTTAATATCTATAATTTAGATATTAAAAGGGTCTCTGTATTAAAGGATTGGTCCCAGGGTAGCAATATTGCAAGGTAGTGGAACTCTGAGGCCTTGAGCCCAGGGACAAGTCTTTATGTCACTGGGGGTGGGCTCTCAAAGGGAATGATGTCTCTGGCTCCTTCTCCTTCTTCTCTTTTACTTCCTTGCTGTGAAATGAGTGGTTCATGAGTTCCCTCCATGATGTGCTACTTCACCATATATCCAAAAGCAAGAATGTCAACCAATTACAGAGCTGGAACATCAAAAACTATAGGCCAAAGTAAACATGTCTTTATAATTTCATTATCTCGGGTATTTGTTACAGTTTCAGAAAGCTGATTAATACAGACAGGAAATAAACACACAAAGTTTTATATATAATCTAATGTTCTTATACTGTACCCTCTAGAAGGTCAATACTTTAGTAACACTGGTATTAAGCTAATATGACAAAAAAGCCATTGGGGTAGTTAACATTCATTGAATCTTTAGTATGCTGTCCTATGAGCTTAGATTCTTTCTGTTCCCTAAATAGGTCCATGAAACACAAATAAAAAAAGAAAGTGAAAAAAAAGTATTGCACACAAACACACAATAAGTTGCAAGGTGTTTTAACCCAGAGCCCAAACTTGATCATTCACCTTTGAGTTTTCTTCCCTTCCTCCATGAAGTATACCCTCACACCACTTCCAAGGAAAATCCAAGTTTGTGCAGGGAGATGCATTTCATAGAAGGACACTACGAAAATGAATATAAAAGCATGAAAACAAAATTAGATTTAAGAATGAATGTCATAATTGGGAAGAAACTGTTTGTCCTGGTTACTTTTCTCTCGTTGCTGGGACAAAATACCCAACACCCAAAATTAAGGAAGGAAAAGTTTATTTAGCTTACAGCTTTTGGAGATTTCATTCCATAATCAGCTGGCTCCAAGGCAGGGTGGCACGACAATGGGACAACACTTCAAGATAGTAGCCAGAGCAAAAGGGGGAGAGCAAGCCTCTTTTCCTCCCTTATATTGTACACAGGCCACCGCCCTTCTCCAGTGTGGGTGCAGCACTCACAAAATTTCTGTGCTCTTCTCTTGCACAGGATGAGGATATTTACAAAGCAATGATCCTGCTCCTTGCTGAGTCTCTCAGTTAAACTTCTAAACTTTTTAAGTTGACACAGTGTATCAACCATAATACCCACAAAGAAAAGACAAACTATTATGGAAGAAAGGAGAAAGGAAGAAAGAAAAAAAGAAAAAAATACATTTATACACAAAATAGTTAAGATAATTTCTCTTAGTTCATTGATAAGAAAAGTTTGTGCTAATATTATTTGAATGAGTTACCAGGTCAATGTTATATATTCTGAATATCTACTATGTCTACTATGAAGACAACAATATGTAATGTATTAATTATTGTAACTCTCCAACTAACCTGTTTTGAAATGGTTTTATTGTTATTTTTATCCTTTTTTGTGTTTAAAATAAAACTTTAAAAAATTATATGAGGAACCAAAAAACTTTTCTGATTTAATTTTAACTAATTATTTATTTTTATTGCTGGCATTCTGAGTTTAAGTCAAATGTGTTTTCATTCTTCATATTTAATGAGAAGAGTATGTATAAAAGGGTACATTAGGAATTATTGTGAAGATAATTATAGAGATATCTTGCACTTTGGATATTATTTAAACCATTGTGTGCATAAATCACTGGTTATAAAATTATTAAATCACTGGTAATTACTGTATCTCTTATTTTCATCTTTCAGAGACAAGTTATTTAGAAATGTATTCATTGGGCCGGGGATTTAGCTTAGTGCATAAACACCTGCCTTGCAAGTGCACGATTGTGAGTTGATCCCTGGTAC